TCAGGGGCAGTAGTCCCAAAAGAAAAAATTGTTATGAAAAAATTTAAGATCAAATTTTGCTATGAATTTTTTTTACGCCACTTTCAGAAGATTATACTAAAGTAGCTTATAAGTTCTTATAATTTATTTAGTATTTATTTCTAAATTTGGTTTTTTTTTTGTTTTTTTTTTCTTAAATAAGTTATTGGAGTCTGCTAAAAAACTATAATTTACGGTACATTAGTTTGCTAGTTGTAAAAGTACACTATTTTGTTTATCTAGTTCAACAAGTGATTGTATTTCGAAAATTGTCCGGCAACATTACATATTACATGTTACGATATGAAAATAAAGATACTGAACGAATCTTTTTTCAAGCATCTTTATTTTGCATTCAATACAACCCACTTATGTTATGCAAGTTATAATTGTAAATGATACTTGATGCTAAATTATAATTTCCACGCATTTATCAGTGGAGTTAGGATTTTAAGTTTGGGGCCGGAGTGCATTAAAAAATTCTAGGAAGAAATATATTTTAATAGAAAATAATTGAGATTTGAGAGATGTCAGGGAATGGGGCACTGTACCCATCGTATTGAATTGAATATAATATAATTATACTTCAATTATTACGATAGTGAGTTATATACGTCGACAATGCTGGAGATTGTAGAAAAAGGAAGAAGCTCGTCCCCTGATTGTGCTCTGAATTCTGATTTATCTTTATTAAAAATTGAAAAGTAAAGACATAAACCGAAACAACTAATTAAACAGGAAAGCAAGAATTTGCATTTTGAAATGGAAAAAGAAAATCTGAAAATATAAAAATAAATAAATAGTCGTTTGGTCGATATTATCGGTCAATCGTCTTTTAACATTTGAAAATCTACAATATACGAGTCTGCTAAAATCACCGATTGACCTAACGATAATGAATTGGATGTTGGTTGGTTATCATCCAGATTTGTTGTGTCGAATATGGATCGATTACTAGAATTACCGCTCAACTGGACGATAGTGAATTTGTTGTTAATTAGTTATCAACCAGAGTTGTTGTATCGAAAATGGATTGTTTATCGGGTAAAACAGACCAATGAAAACTCCTAATTAGCAATGGCAAAAATATTCAATAAGATAAAAATCATTTTATATAAAAGAGTGCGTGGGAAGTGTTATGATGGCGACCAACCATTTGGCCGGTATAAAGTGAAAAAGGACCCCAAACACCGTCCCACACAAATAATACAAAGCCGCAATCAGAAAAGAAGCATCCGAAACTGGCGGCAGAAGGAAGCTATATATATACAAAGAGATTAAATTCTGAGCGGATGAGTCGATATTTAATATAAATCGGATTCCACTAATTTTTGGACATGTGACACTTTTAAGTCTAACTCTTAATAAATTACGCTATTATAATTAGGGTTAGAGGGGTTACAGGTTCTGCTGGGGTTTTATTTTTTCCTTTTTCTTTTTTTTTTTATAATTATTAGAATACTAATTATATTTTAATTGAAATTATCCACGTGTCAATCATCTTATGGCATCCGATTTTCTTATTAAAATAGACCATCCGGTCTAAATTTGCACCCATATACAAATATAATAAATAGTTCATTTTCCCATCTCTTCTTTTTGTTGCACGCTCGTAGCCGCACCACTCAGCTCGACCACCCACTCCCTCAAAACAATTTCTCATTTCTTTATAATATATATATTCCCCATTTTTTGGTGTATGTCACTATTCACTAACATGTTATAAACACACATTAGGTTTACAAACTTCTTTTTTTATAATATCTTTTTGGGTCTAGGCCAATATCAGGTGTACAAACGGATATCATATGTTTTTATTATTAAAAGATGAAGCATAAATAGACAATAAATAGATTGTTCATTCTAGAGAGAAGAAGAAGAAAGAATTGAATTTTATTCTATAGGACTTCAAGCCCTATCAGTTGTCATAAAATCAATTTGTGTCAGGAAATGTTCAAATTCTAACCTTATCGTTCATTCAAACACACAAGCGTCCACGACATTCGATTGCGGGCAGCCTATACAGGGCCGGCTCAAGTCCATATGGGGCCCTAGGCAAATACTTTTTTTTGGGGCCCTTATATTAAATTTTTAATTTAAAATTAAATATTTTTTGGTATTTCTTATTATTTGAAGTGCAAATATTAAAATTTTTAGATCTTATGTTATATTTTCTACAATTTGGCTTTCATATAAATATTTTTGTTTAGTTATATGAAAATATATAATCAAAAAATCAAAAAATCAAATTTGGGGGCCTTAATTTATAATACACATAATTTAGGGGGCCCTATGAATATTACAAATAGTTTGAGGGCCCTAGGCATAGGCCTAAGTTGCCTGTGCACTAGAGCCGGCCCTGAGCCTATACTCGAATCTCTCTCACGTGGACAACTGCTGCCGAACCCGGGCTAACATATTAAAAGTAAAAGTGAGCTTAGGATACAAGTGAAGTGAGTATTTCTACTCTTCACTAACTCTAACTAACTTTACTAAACGTAGTACATGTTTTACTAATGCAGTTTGCATAAGTCGCATTCCATAATTAATGCGGTTATAAGCCAAATGTCACAATTTATTTATATCTCCATTAAAATAAAGTTACAATGCGCTTACCATCCGACTAACTTATTTAATTTGTCAACTTAAAGGGATTGTGCTAATGAAATATCGCCAAAGACAACAAATGTTATTGGAAAATGGCAACAAGGCTACTAAAGATTCCAGAAAATCTAGCAATTAGTCAGAATATTTTATAGTTAGTTAGATTCTATACTTAGTTATTCAGTTAGGATTTTTGTATATAATGCATATTTATTGTGTAACCTAATCATATGCACCTATGGATCCTATATATGCAAGGCTGCACTACATGTCAATTGAAGTTATTCATAAATAAAATTCAGTATTTCATTCTTCCAAATTCTCTCTAGCCATTGTTAATTATTTAATCTCAATCATCGAGCGTGCATGCACATTTCATTCATGGAGTTGTTCTTGAGATTTCATGTTGACGATCTTTGATCTCTAATATAGTATCAACTTGATTAGGGCTTTTTTTTCCGTTCGTTACATTTCTCTGATTTTCTTTCTTCGGTTGTTCATTCTTTTCTCGAATTCTTCATTTCTTTTTGTTGTTGATTCGAAATCATGGCAAATCAATACTCCCCGGTGACAGATTGCAAAGTAGTACCATGAGAGATGGGTGAAAAGAAGAACCCATCGAGGAGTGAAATAGAACATGAAATTGTAAGCTCTCAAGCAGTGGGAGGAGCCAGGGCTCTGACTACGTGCTTGTTGAGACTGAATTCACAACTCATAAGCAGTGGCTTGTTAAGGGAACCCACCAAGCCTTAGCGAAAGCGAGTCTCCGTAGGGCAATTGTCACTGCTAATGGACCTGAACCTGAGTGATCTATTCATGATCAGGATGAAGTTTTGGGTGAAACTAAATGGAGATCCAAACCGACAGATGTTGAAGAATCAGCAGATGAGTTGCGGTTAGGGTTGAAAAGGCCACTCGAACCTAGAGCCAGGGGCGGCCCACTTTCCAATGGGGTCCAAAAAAATATATATTTATTTTTATTATTTTATAATTATTTTATTTTCTCTTCTTCTAACCCCTATTCTTTTCCTCTCTTAATTTTTTAACCCCCTATTTCCACATTATTTTTTTTGACCCGATCCATTTTGTCCTTTATCTCCCTTTCTTATTTTTTTTGCATCCAATCTATTTCATCCAATCAAGGCACACTTTCAACAATTCAACAGTCCTATTCCAATTACGCATGAATCTTGCCAATCTTATTCAAGATTCCATCACATGTACAATACTAAATGCCAATGCATCAACTGATCGAAAAATTAGACACTAAAAAATTACACGATTTTTTCTAAAAATATTTAGCTATTATTATTGAATAGTACTTCTAAAGTAATGCATGAGCACCGCCCCGAATCCTCAAATTTTTTAATCTATCATCGATTGTGAAGTCGCTCTAATACCCCACTCCCACATATAATATGAACTTGAGTTTGCCGGAGTCTATATAGTGGCTTGGTTGAGCTCAAAGAAAGGATATATATTTTTGATACTAAGAGCTCAAAAAGAAAATAAAAATGTGAGTATCTAAAAGTGCAATAAAAAATTGGAGAACAAAAAACTAGCAAGCTGTAATACTATATAGGGTGAAAATTGTAATGAAACTTCCAATTTTCGCCGACCTCGATCTGAAATTTTTCTATTTTGGAATAATATTTTTCAATCTGAATTCTGAAATTCCGACTTCGATTTTTCCAAAATTATTTGGATCCGAATTGAAAGATATATGAGATTCCAATTTGTGATCCAATTAAAGTTCCAAAAATAATTCCAAAATTCTGAAATTTTTTCTTCCCGAATGTTACAATTAAAATACCAATATTATTATTATATATTTTATATTTAAGGTGAGGTAGAATTGTAAAATATCGAATTCCACCGATTCCTATCCGAAAATTTCCAATTTTGGAACAAGCTTTTTCCTTCTAATTTCCGAAATTTATATTTCCAATTTTTTCGGAACTGAATAGGAACTAGTTTTTCACTTCTAAAAATATCGTCGTTTTTTTTTTTTTTCTTCCGAAATGACTAATTTCCATCAGATCTGTCCGAACACCCTTAATACATCATAGTTGAACATGATTGAAGGATGAAATGAAAGACTATTATAAAAAAGGCCCCGTCTAGTAATTGCAAAAAGTGCAAGCTAATTACTAAATTATCTTTTTCTTTATGGCCGGGGTTAATTATGAAAATTTTCAACCCCACATTGACCAAAAATAAGTAATCATACAAACATGTAAGAGTGAAAATTAGAGTAATATGCATGTTACCACAAGGGCAAAATCGTCAGTTAAAATAATAATGACCATTACTTAAACCCCCACTCCCCACCCCCACCATTCCCTCAACAGATTGCGCTCCCAAACTCAAACTTTGCAGCCACAAAAAAAAAAAAAAAATGAGAATTCTGCTTCTATTTCCCTTTCTCGGCCTCTTTCTAACGGCGGCCGCCGCCTCTTCCGCCGGAACCACCGCAAACGCAACAGACTTCATCCGCATGAACTGCGACACCACACTATACCCAGAGCTCTGCTACCACTCACTAGCCGGGTACGCCAACGCCGTACAGCAGGACCCGGCTCGGCTGGCTCGGGTAGCCGTCGGCGTGAGCTTGTCCCGCGCCAAGAAGATGGCCCTGTACATAGCCAATCTTTCCCGAAATGCCGACTACGGAGCCGACCCGCGGGCTTCCTCCGCCCTGCACGACTGCTCCTCCGTGATGGGGGACGCGGTGGACCTGATACGAGGGTCGGTGAAGCAGATGCGGCGGCTGACGACGGGCGGCGGCGGAGGAGGAGAGGAGCTGAGGTTCGAGCTGAGCAACGTGCAGACGTGGATGAGCGCGGCGTTGACGAACGAGGACACGTGCGTTGACGGATTCGAGGATGTTTCCGAGGGGCCGGTGAAAATGGACGTGTGTGATCGGACGATGAGGGTGAAGGAGGTGACGAGCAATGCGCTGGCGCTTGTGAACAGCTTTGTGGCTAAGGTTATGGTCCCATGACTACTGATGAACATGACTCCTCACAAATTGAGATATTATTATTTTGTCAATATATATGTAATATATATTTGTATACTAGGTTCATTTTCGTCTGTTGTTAAATACTATATATTAAAAAAAAAAATAGTAAGTTAATGAAATTGGAGCTGAGTTATTAATTTTGGAGTTACCTGAATATATATGTCAGGTGGATAGTTCCACTCTGGCTTTCCGTTCCTGTATTTTATATTTTAGGGTAAATTACAGTCATTTCGGGAGTTAATAAGTTTAAATTAAAAAAAATAAAAAATCACATGTTCGGGTAGCAATTACGGCCTCTCAACCAAGGATGGATTCAGGGGTTGGCCATGTATGCCATGGACCACCCTAATTAATAAAATAAAGTTTGTTTTAGTGGTAAAAATCCTCAAATATATGGGTGAGGTTATGAGTTTGATTCTAGTGTGGTGCGAAAAAAATATGGGTTATTATGTTTTTTCTCAATTTTTTTTCGGGGACGCTGCCTCGAACCCCCGAAAATTTAAGCACACTTTGTAGTAAATTTCTGGACTCGCCACAACCGGCATACCCTGAATTTTCATCCTGGATCCGCCACTGCTCTCAACTATGAATTTTGTTACACGTCCACCTTTGCAGTGTCAAATTTAGTGGAATCTTCTAAAGTATGTGGAATATTCTCCAATTTGTACCCGTACTTTTACCCCCAATCGACCTCAATATTTTGAAACAGGATGATCATAATTCATTAGATATGTCTCTTGCTTTGTAAATATAAGATTATGGAGTATCAAAAACTACATTTTTGCACAAAATAAGTACAAACTAGAGAATATTATACGAAATATAAAAGGTTATATTGCATTCGACAACAAAGTTTAGGAAATTTTGCAAGTCATTTAAGTTATGTTTGTTATGATTTGAAAAATTAATTGCCTAGTTATCATGAATTGAAGGATGGCTTTTTTCTTCGTTTTGGTGAACCTTAACGTATAAATATCAAATGTGAGTTAACATAATATTTTGATACCTTTATAAAATTCATTTGGTCCAACTATAGGGATTAAAATATTTAATTTTTAATTAAAAACTTCGTTATATTTTTTATAGTAAAAAATGAATAAAAAGAAAGAAAAAGGAAGAATCCCTTCTCTTTAAAAATAACGGTTGGACTCGTGGCATTGAGATTCTCGTAATCAAATAAATTAATTAAAAATGTTTTTTTCTTGTGGGGTGATTAATGATTTACTTTAATTATGATGTTTTAATTATGAGGATTCCATCATATTTTATCCAATGTAATGCGCAATCGACGGCGTCTAGTCTTGATAAAATAACTTAATAATTACTAGGTTCCCGGATGAAAAGCAGATGTCTGTCTTTGTTTCTATGGCGTTTGAGTCAAACAAACATGTGAGAGTACTGTTATATGTTTGATTCTTTTTTTTTCCCCTTCTTAATTCATATTTATCTCTAATTATTAGCATTAAAGTTGTGTGTTACTCAAACATGAAGAATAGAAGAAGGGGATAATTACAGTTTTGGGCCCCCAAGTTTGCACGTTTTTCACTTTTGGTCCCCCATTTACCATCGTCAACAAAATACACACTAATGTTGTCACATTTTAACACATTTAGTCCCTCCGTCTGTTTGACCGTTAAGTAGTAATGGTCAACAGTTGAGTTAGGGCTGAATTTGGGATTTCTCATAGAGAAAATTGCACTCAGACCTGCATTCTTTTAAAATATTCTAAAAACCCCTAAAATTTTATTCAACCCTAATTTAACTCCTCCAATTTCATCATTTAATCAATTTTAGCAAACGACCCCGATTTTTACCACCATTACCGCTGACCGTTGACCGTCGTTGATTTTCTTTTTTTCGGCATTGACTTTTTTTTTACTATTGTTTTTGACGCCATTCACCGACATTGTATTCTCGGTTAACAATGTTGAATTTTATTTTTCTTGATTTTTTTCGAACTTTTTCCAGTGACTTTTTTTTCCCATCAACACAATTACTGTATAACACAATAATAATAGTATATTAATACCTAGTATCGTAATATTAAAATTACAAACTTCTAACAAAGTTTTTATCTAAAATTCTAGGACCTAAATACAATTAAAAAAAAATCTAAAATCCATAATTTATTTCCCTCAATTTTTCTTCGTGGAACCG